GAAATGTCAAAGCATACTGAGCATCTTTCTCTTTGACACCATGTCTGAAATCCCACGTGATCTGTCAAATACTAATGCATGAAAATCCTAACCTCAAAAAAATCACCCGTTATATATATTTATATCCATTAGGGTGATCCAAAATAAGTAAAGCTGAAACTTTATTACTCACAAGAGCTACAGTAAAAATGGGAATGACAAACCTGTAGTAATCCGAGGAAATGTTTAATATATATATATATATATATATATATATATATATATATATATATATATATATATTTATATCCATTAGGGTGATCCAAAATAAGTAAAGCTGAAACTTTATTACTCACACCCATTGGGATTGTTCTATACCGGAAAATATACACCTGTTTTTTATTTTGAGATAAAAAAAACTTTAGGAATCGCTCAAAGGGTTCAAAATATTCCATGTTTTTTTTTGGGGGAAAAAAACAATTTCTCGCTGAAATTGTGTAGAACTCTTTAAAATCAATACTTTTCCATCGGAAGACTCGGTTTCTCTTAAGCAGACCTCAAACAAAAAATGTCCAAATATTTATATAACCATTTCTTAATATTAACTGGGGGCCTATAGCCCCCAAAAACGCAAAAAATTGCAATGTGAGATCCGTAAAAAATTGTTAGTATTAAAAATTGGTAAAAATAAATATTAAGATATTATTATTGGAAGTCTCCTGAAGAGAAACAAAAGTTTTCTGATGGAAAAATATTTATTTTCAAGTGTTCTATACCTTTCTACGAAAAATTGTTTTTTTTTTTTCAATGTAAAATACATGAAAAACTTTGAGTGCCTTGAGCAACCTCTAAATATTGCCGTATGGCTGTCAAAAGTAAGAGGTTTAAGAGCTGAAAATAAATTTGTGAAAAATTGCCACCCGTTTGAAAATTTAAATTTAATTGAACTGATAAGATAGATTAAATATTGGAATAAGAGTAATAAACTAAAGGACTTAAGGAAACTTTCCTGCAAAAATATATATGAGGATGGTTGCCACCTGTAGAAAAATCGTATTCAATTAAATTGATAAAAGAAATGAATATAATATAATACGTGTATCAAACTAAAGAGGTTTAAGTAATTTCATTGTACAAAATATTTTTGAAGCGAGTTGCCACCAATATGAAAAATTTAATTCAAATCGCAAAAAAAATGGATTTCCGCTTTTTATGGCAGTTAAAGATACGACATTTGAATATTTTTTGCGACACGTATTGAATTAATACACCTTTGAAGAAAAAAATAAAGAATGCTTCACGAATTGAAATTTTTTTTTTTAAATCTCACTTCATAAAGCCCTTTTATCCAATTTATTTTTTATGTATGAGGCCATAAGAGTTTTTTCGAGAAAGTAACAACACAAAAATAATTTTAAGGTGCAGCAAAACACGCCGGGTATTTGCTGGTTTTAAATATGCACAACGAATTAATCGAGATTGGAATATTGTTATCGATAAATTTATCGACGCACTAGGCTAGTAAATATAATTATATAAATCTTTGCATTTGTGTTGGATTTTGAAAGAAAATTCGCCACAAGGTTTTTTATAATTCCTTTAATTATACCACAGTGGAACGCCCTTTATATCGCATACAAACGAGTATGTATAGGTGTCATTAGCAGTCATAATAACAACTCGCAAAAACCAGTTTAACAAATTAGCCAAAGCAAAAAAATATTTCACTTCTGTTCTCTTGCTTACTCCAAAATCTCAGCGCATGTGGGTTTTATGTGAAGCACACGTACTTCATTGTTGGCTACGAGCCAGGCCAAAGCACTTTTTCACTCCAATCTACTTTTTCTTCTTTACACATTAATCGCTTGTTGTTAATACATAACTTATTTCATGTTTATTTTGTTTACTTAGTATTGTTTTGGTCTGTTGATTAGCGACAAATGTTCCAATTTGCATTGAATGAATTATTGTTATTTCTTACAGCCGGTTTCACCAGCAATTCAAATGGTAAATGATTTTTTTTTTCTGAAAATTTCCATATAAAATTCAAAAAATTAAAACAATTTTTCACTAAATTGCTTTCGTGAAATTGGCTGTTAAATGCTGAATTCAGTCAGATGCATTTTTTTTACTTAGAAATATTTCAATAAAGTAAATAAAAACAAACTTGCTAGTTGTTAAATCTGCGCATACATATACGTATGCATATATGTACATATGTGTAGGTATGTATGTCGGCATAAGAAATCTGGAAAAAATTCTGTGAATAATATATCTTAATTAAACATCTGCGGTTATAATTTGCATATACATATGTACATATGTACATATGCACAAACATGCATATGTATATGTATATACATATGTATACAGTAAACCTATATAAACGTCTACTTAATATTTTAAATATAAATGATTCTTAGTTAGGTCGTTCGCCTCTAGCCTCAACTGTATACAAAACAGCACTCGGGAATCATTTTTATTACGAATATTTTCGGTTAACTCACAATCAACTGTCCCCAATAATCAGCCAGTTTATCATATATGTATGTACGTACTTAGACTAAATGGCATTGTACATTTGTTTTAAAATGATGACTGTTAGCTGATACTACAACACAATGGATAAAGCTTTATGCCAGAGCCCAATGAGTCAGCTTCAAAAGGCTACATTAGCCAGCATTCTAAACGTCACGTATGTATGTATGTATGTACGTACTTTCAAGGTGCAACCAATTAGGCGCTAAATAGGCCACATATGGAAAACGGTTAGTTACATGCAATTTGAACAATAGGGTCATTTAAACCTTATAAAGACCCGGCTCCAGATGATGTTTCACCGATGCAGCTACAATAATCATTGGAGCTAAGCACTAACTGGTTTCATGTTATTTTTAAGGTACTTGCGACACCGCAGCACGGCTAACCGCTACAACATCCCCAACTTATTATTAATTTCATTCAGAAGTGTACCTTATTAATCTTGTAATTTTCATAAGTACTAGGAGTGAGAGTTATTGGCGAAATGCGACCGGCTTTCTAGTGTTTCTAAACAGTTTATTTACCTTACAGTGTAAACCACTTTTTTTTTTTTTTTTTTTTAAACACTGATAGTCGGATAAATTGTCCAACGAATTTCGAAACCGTTAAAACTCTCCTGGAAGATGCAGAAACAAAGCCAAAAACACGAAGCAAAAGAAAATGTGAAAACTCGACACTTAACCAAGCAAGAAAGTCTAAGTTCGGGCGGAGCCGAACATTAAATACCCGGCGCAAATACTAAATATATGATGTTCACCTTTCCGAAAGCTACCGCTACATGGTAAGCCAGGGTGTATCAATTTTGAGTAAATTAGCGTCCTTAAGTTTCAAAATATTGACGTTTCAAGCCTTTCTAAAATTTACCGTTATATGAAAAGCCATAACTTTAGTCCGATTTCAATCATTTTCATAGTTTTGCTTTTATGTAGCAAGCACAATAAAAATACCGAGTTTGGTACAAATTAGTAGAACGGTTACCGAGATACATATATGTGATCATAAGTG